TTTTCGAACTTGATAGAAGAGTTTAAAATTCTTGCAGTTTCAAGCCAGTTATCACCAGGCGAAAGGCAGAGGACAAAAATATTACAACAGCAGGTTTTGATCGATCACTAATGAAATGAGGTAATCCGTTTTCTGAAGAAACGTGTGCCGAAGTTTGGTGCTGATCACTACTTGATCGTTGAGACCACGCTGCGTCGTCAGCTCTGCGAATCATAAACCAGACTACCTAACGCTTCGTAAACAGTCAACGCATGAACCTGTGACCTTTGTCCCCTAGTTCGGACGCCCCGCAATACGATTATGTCAAATCTTCAGTCAGAAACTTCCACAGCAAAGACCGAAGGAAAGCCTGTCCGTTCTCGCACCGAAACTTCTTGTCCGCAGTTCCTCCGGATAATGGCTTTTCAAGGAGCCGCGATGTCGTCTAAGGTCGCCTTATACGCCGTCGTCTTTCTGTTTTCGATTGTCGTCGTCGGTAGGACGCTGAACTAACATTTAAACTGTGTCACTGGAGCGTGCTTTAGGGCGCCCTGAACCGCGACGGTATCCTTATGCTCAAAGTGCCTGTCCTAACGGTTCTCCACCTTTGCAGCTGTGTGACGCGAGGCGTCCAACTTGTCCACCACAGTACTACTGCTACGCTGTGGGTACGGTCGACGCGCGTCTCTACGGATGCTGTACCGAAAGTATTCATTATGAATAACCTTTATGCGTTTCATGGCAATGTTTAGTGCTCCCGTCGTATTATCCTCAATATCCCTCGCCGTATGTTAATTATAATCGAATGCGACAGCGACTGAGTCCTCAAAGTGAAGCCGCTGATGTTTCAAGAGAGGCCGGTCTACAACAGCCCTGGTCGCCGTTTCGCTATGACCACAGTCTGACACTGGCCCATTTGAATCAGACTTACGGACGTCCTGGCCAAAATTAATTAAACAGTATTCGCCGTATTGTTTTATCTGTTTCGTATGATAATTAATGAAATAAACCGAAACCAGTCCGCAACTTTCATTCCCTATGCTTTTGTTAGAACTTGCTTCAACGATAAAATTCAGTTCGGCATGGATGGCTCTAATGTAGCTTGTACTTGCAAGTTTTGCAGCCGTTTGAACACTGTTCTTCTGTAAACTTTAATGATGAAGCAATTCTAAAGCCCTTCTTTATATGAAGTTAGTGGTCTGGCACTGATCTTAGTTCTGATGTTATCAGTCATAAGTCCGGATGAGTCAGTTATTGTTTAAAGGCAGAATATACGGTAGCTATGTGATAAGCATTGTCTCCCACTCACTTATCACCCCTCGGAAGATAGGAAGACGAGTGACTCCCACCGGCGCTCGAAACCGAGACTTCTCTATTTTGAGTTCAACGCTTAACCGGTTAAGTGTAATACTCTCTGATGATGACCGATGCCAGTTCGGTAGAAACTTGGGAATTCTTGAATGTAAAGCATTTTTCTTGTTTTTCATCCTGCCAACCGCGAAATCCTAAGAACCATCATCTCCAAGTCATCTACGGCACGATATCAAAATGAGCCTTAAAAGTTATTCATATTCCGAGTATGTTTAGAATTGCGTCTTGTGCTTACCGAGTCGCAGGCGCTGTTCAGACCGATGCAGTATTTTTTTGGTTTCCATTTATCATAGAGCATTATTTAACAAGTAATTAATTTTTTGGCGGTTCATGCAGAGTGCAAGCCTTTGTGAACCATTGACGACGTCTCTCAAATCATCGTATAGTACAACAAATTCAGATAAGTGAAACACTTTGGAAGATTTTGGTCGCTGAAAGCTGTCATTGTGGAGTAGCGAGCAGCAGCACCTCTACAGCCTATCGGAGCGGAATGCCGCACTAATTATGAGCCCTCACGTAGTAGTGATTATACATGAAAATTTTTACCATAATTCATGCCGCAGTATAAGGATACCAAAAAAATTTAATATTTGCCTTTTTTAACTAATGCAATAGATTTTCATTACTTTGGAGTTTGTGCATGAGCATGGGTTATATTATTACAATTGACTATAATATCAGAATAAAACAGTACATCGTATTGATTGCGTTCGGTAGCTACTTGGATGGCGACCCATTCCACAGCTGAACGTCATTTACACAAGTTGCGTTATAAAGAGATTCGCGCATGCGACTGCAACTTCCCCACAATAAGACAGTCGACCATATCGAGTCAACTAGTGCTAAGCGAGGAACTAAGAGAGAGGATCGGTTGAGCGTACATGCGTGTATGTTTGAGGAGTTCATCACCCTGAGTCGTTCGCATGGGCAGAACGTCCCTGGTTTGTGGTGTCAGCTGCATTCACAGCTTCCTGATACTTTTGCTAT